AACTGTAAAAAACAATTAATTAATTTCTATTCAAAAGAGATATTGTGTTTTTTCTCGCAAAAAGCAGACAAATAAATTAGCGTTAAGATTTACCAATACCTTCATATTCCCAAGAACTGACAAGCGCCCGGTTCCACTGTGTCTTGGTAGAAAAATTATTATCAGCATGCGGGACTCAAGTTGTTTTTGTTTAGTTTAGTAAGAATTTTACAGCGGTCGCAAACGCATAAGGTCATATGAGCGAGCGAAACAAGTTGGTTGCATTCACAACAGTTCACTGTGGGGCTTGATTTTGGTCAATATTTCTATTAAAATGTGAAAATGTGAAAAACATTTTAATATTTTCCTCGGGTCTCTTCGAAGTTTGGTCATTTTGATAAGGCTTGTCTAATGGTAAAATGTGTGTTGCATCCGACACAGAACGGTTTTTCATCTCCCTGAAGGAGGTATTTATGTGTCAGGGAGGTGTGTCCGATGCGTAATCGAGTAAAATGACTTCGTCTCCTATGGAGAGGCCCGAAGGTTTTCGTGGTCAGGTCACAGTTTGGGCTTAATGTTGTGTAATTTATTCTTAATTTATTTCTTCAATGTGTCTCCCACAGACTTGAGGTGTCGTTTTTTAACTTATTTTTTAAAAGTCAGTCTGTGGGAGAGTGTTTGTCGTTGATCCCAACACAAGGGACACGGATTCCTTCGCCAGATCTACCTTCTCATTTCCTCTGATGCCCTCATGGCTAGGTAGCCATGCGAACACGATACTTTACCAGATTTCAGTAAACGCGTGTATTTTTTTTTTTTTCGTAATCTATCTATTTCAGGGTATATGAGAGTGCAGTTTTGTAAGTCTAGTGATGCAAAACAGATAGCCAGAAAGGGTAAAGAAAGATGTTTCAGGAGGAGTTTTCTACGGAGTCCAATGCCATGTCAATGGGATGGAGTCTCCTCTGTTGTGTACTGTTAGAAGATAGGGCGGCGGCTCCCACAGCAGAGTCCGTGAAGATTAGCTCCGCTCCGGGGTATTTTTCTATTCTTTCTTGTGTGTGGTGAGCTGTAAGTCTACTTTTGCCTTGGTGAGGTGCTGCGGAGGGAGGTCGGGAAAAATAAATAGTTTGATGTCTCATTTGGAAAAGTATACGTTTTTTTGAGGTCCTCAATGACTCTTAGGCGAAATGTTTAATGAATTTTTCTTAGTTTTTGAATTTGCTTTTATGGTTTCTGGATTTGTTCAGAAAATGCAGTCGTGTGAGGGTTCTCTGGTGTTGAACTCTGTTTAATTGCGCATTGTAGAGAGAGTTGTGTACGTCTGGG